TTGAGAATCTTGAATGTGGTGATCATGTCCCCCCTAACTCTTCTGTCTTCCAACGAAGTGAGGTTCAATTCCCGTAGTCTCTCCTCGTAGCTCCAGGTGTGTGTACTTTGGTGAACCCCGCCAGGTGTGTGTACCTTGGTGCACCCCGCCAGGTGTGTGTACCTTGGGGCACCTCGCCAGGTGTGTGTACCCTGGGGCACCCCGGAAGGTGTGTGTACCTTGGAGCACCCCACCAGGTGTGTGTACCTTGGGGCACCCCGCCAGGTGTGTGTGTACCCTGGGGCACCCCGCCAGGTGTGTGTACCTTGGGGCACCCCGCCAGGTGTGTGTACCTTGGGGCACCCCGCCAGGTGTGTGTACCTTGGGGCACCCCGCCAGGTGTGTGTACCTTGGGGCACCCCGCCAGGTGTGTGTACCCTGGGGCACCCCTCCAGGTGTGTGTGTACCTTGAGGCACCCCGCCAGGTGTGTGTACCCTGGGGCACCCCGCCAGGTGTGTGTACCCTGGGGCACCCCGCCAGGTGTGTGTACCCTGGGGCACCCCGCCAGATGTGTGTACCCTGGGGCACCCCGCCAGATGTGTGTACCCTGGGGCACCCCGCCAGGTGTGTGTACCCTGGGGCACCCCGCCAGGTGTGTGTACCTTGGGGCACCCCGCCAGGTGTGTGTACCCTGGGGCACCCCGCCAGGTGTGTGTACCCTGGGGCACCCCGCCAGGTGTGTGTGTACCCTGGGGCACCCCGCCAGGTGTGTGTGTACCTTGGGGCACCCCGCCAGGTGTGTGTACCCTGGGGCACCCCGCCAGGTGTGTGTACCTTGGGGCACCCCGCCAGGTGTGTGTACCCTGGGGCACCCCGCCAGGTGTGTGTACCCTGGGGCACCCCGCCAGGTGTGTGTGTACCCTGGGGAACCCCGCCAGGTGTGTGTACCCTGGGGCACCCCGCCAGATGTGTGTACCCTGGGGCACCCCGCCAGGTGTGTGTACCCTGGGGCACCCCGCCAGGTGTGTGTACCCTGGGGAACCCCGCCAGGTGTGTGTACCCTGGGGCACCCCGCCAGATGTGTGTACCCTGGGGCACCCCGCCAGGTGTGTGTACCCTGGGGCACGCCGCCAGGTGTGTGTACCCTGGGGCACCCCGCCAGGTGTGTGTGTACCCTGGGGAACCCCGCCAGGTGTGTGTACCCTGGGGCACCCCGCCAGGTGTGTGTACCCTGGGGCACCCCGCCAGGTGTGTGTACCCTGGGGCACCCCGCCAGGTGTGTGTGTACCCTGGGGAACCCCGCCAGGTGTGTGTACCCTGGGGCACCCCGCCAGATGTGTGTACCCTGGGGCACCCCGCCAGGTGTGTGTACCCTGGGGCACCCCGCCAGGTGTGTGTGTACCCTGGGGAACCCCGCCAGGTGTGTGTACCCTGGGGCACCCCGCCAGATGTGTGTACCCTGGGGCACCCCGCCAGGTGTGTGTACCCTGGGGCACCCCGCCAGGTGTGTGTACCCTGGGGCACCCCGCCAGGTGTGTGTACCCTGGGGAACCCCGCCAGGTGTGTGTACCCTGGGGCACCCCGCCAGATGTGTGTGTACCCTGGGGAACCCCGCCAGGTGTGTGTACCCTGGGGCACCCCGCCAGGTGTGTGTGTACCCTGGGGCACCCCGCCAGGTGTGTGTACCCTGGGGCACCCCGCCAGGTGTGTGTGTACCCTGGGGCACCCCGCCAGATGTGTGTACCCTGGGGCACCCCGCCAGATGTGTGTGTACCCTGGGGAACCCCGCCAGGTGTGTGTACCCTGGGGCACCCCGCCAGGTGTGTGTGTACCCTGGGGCACCCCGCCAGGTGTGTGTGTACCCTGGGGCACCCCGCCAGATGTGTGTACCTTGGAGCACCCCGCCAGGTGTGTGTGTACCCTGGGGCACCCCGCCAGATGTGTGTACCTTGGGGCACCCCGCCAGGTGTGTGTACCCTGGGACACTTTGCCAGGTGTGTGTGAATACTCACACCACAATGGTCTACACGTGAAGATGTTGTCCGTTCAACATCGTCACCTTCAAGACCATTGGCTGGGTCGCTTGTGCCCTTGTTGCTCCCTGAAGCATCTTCGTGTCCACTTACGGACAACGTTAATCTGTCCTCGTTAACGGCGGGGTCGTGTCGTTAATGGTTAATGTCCTCGTTAGTCTGTGCTGAATACGTAGTTGAGTTTGGAATTGGATCGAGGGTTGGTCTTGACCTCCTGGGTTGTTACTGTGATGGGCCGGCTTCCTACCCACTTCGGAGGTCATCAAGTATTTAAATACAAAGCCGACATGATTGGAAGATGTACAGGTTTCGTACGTGGACGCTTAAATGTTTGACGACTCCTTAACCATATCTAAACATCTTTTCTCCAAAGATGTGGACAAAGATGAACAGGTTCGTAAGTATTTGCAGATCTGCTTGATGAATACGGGCCGAGGCGTTCATCCTTGCTTGTAATTCTCTCATGTGATTCATTACTGCTCTTTAGATAGAAGCACAGTCCTCATAGTCGTGTACTGGTCTCCTGTCACCGGTGCCACCAGTGCCTCACTGGCACAGTCTTGAAGACTTCCTGCGGCATGATTCACGAAGTAGTTACGCAAGCACTTACGAACCTGTACATCTTTCCTCAATCTTTGACGGCTTTGGTTACATATATTAAACAGTTTACAAGCATGAAAACTTGCCAATCAACTGTTGTTATTGTTATAAACAGCCTCCTGGGGCTTCGGAGCTCATTAACTGTTTTATAATAGTAAACAAAGCCGCCAAAGATTGAGAAAAGATGTACAGGTTCGCAAGAGCTTGCGTAACTGCTTCGTGAATCTGGCCCCCCTAGAGTCTAACTTAACTCCGGCTGTGTCACTGAGGCCGTCTTCTGATAACTTGGTTAGTGATTGCTGGCTGGCGCTCCGTGGCTGTGCCCGAGCCTCCGCTCGTCTTCACCGTCTTTCACTATTTCATTTTCAAATTATTACTGTGTTTCTCTCCTGAAGTCTTCCCGATGTTCACTACACTTAGCTACCAGTACATTAAAAAACATTGGAGGAGGAATAATATTTTGTGATTCAAAGTCTGTTCTTAAACCAGTCGAAAACTTCTCCTGGAAGATCGACAGCAAGAACCTCATACTACCAATTACAAATGACCTAATCGCTGCACAGAGTAAAGGGTCTCGAATCTCCTTTGTATGGATACCTTCACACATAAATATAACCAATCATAATTGAGACAGTAATTGCAGCCAAATTAGCGTGCAACAAAGATGAAGTTGAATTAGATCTAGGTATCCCCATCTTTACTGTCAAAACTGTATTGGTCCAAACACTCAGATCTGATAAGAAAGAAATTACTGACTCTCAACGACTTGAAAGTACTAGTATTAAAAGCTATGATTTGTTCAGATCTGAAACCTATATCTATGGGCAGCACAAAACGTCGACCAGACTGTGCGACACAGTGCTTGCCAGGATCAGGTTGGGTTACCGTTACCTGTGGCAGGTGGCTACCGTTACCTGTGGCAGGTGGCTACCGTTACCTGTGGCAGGTGGCTACCGTTACCTGTGGCAGGTGACTACCGTTACCTGTGGAAGGTGGCTACTGTTGCCTGTGGCAGGTGGCTACTGTTGCCTGTAGCAGGTGGCTACCGTTACCTGTCGCAGGTGGCTACCGTTACCTGTGGCAGGTGGCTACCGTTACCTGTGGCAGGTGGCTACCGTTACCTGTGGCAGGTGGCTACCGTTACCTGTGGCAGGTGGCTACCGTTGCCTGTGGCAGGTGGCTACCGTTACCTGTCGCAGGTGGCTAACGTTACCTGTGGCAGGTGGCTACCGTTACCTGTGGCAGGTGTCTACCGTTACCTGTGGCAGGTGGCTATACCGTTACCTGTGGCAGGTGTCTACCGTTACCTGTGGCAGGTGGCTACCGTTACCTGTGGCAGGTGGCTACCGTTACCTGTGGCAGGTGACTACCGTTACCTGTGGCAGGTGGCTACCGTTACCTGTAGCAGGTGGCTACCGTTACCTGTGGCAGGTGGCTACCGTTACCTGTGGCAGGTGGCTACCGTTACCTGTGGCAGGTGGCTACCGTTACCTGTGGCAGGTGGCTACCGTTACCTGTGGCAGGTGACTACCGTTACCTGTGGCAGGTGGCTACCGTTACCTGTGGCAGGTGGCTATACCGTTACCTGTGGCAGGTGGCTACCGTTACCTGTGGCAGGTGGCTACAGGTGACGGGTCTCCCAATCCTAAGCACTCCAGGTGCAAGCTCTGTGAGCAGGAACTACGGCATGATCTCCCACACTACATCACTGAATGCCCAGTTATTAGACCTTTCAGACCCGTTGGCGTGAGGTACCTGGAGCTTTGCAATTACTTTATTACCTCTCGTGTTCTTGAAGATATCCTCATAATGCTCCCAGAGTCTGCCAGTGCAGACTACTGAACATATGGCCCTGTATGACTAACATCCTGTGTGATGGGGACTTTTAGCATCACGTAGCTAGCTTTGTGACACACACTGTACTCCCCTTCATATAGTCTAGGGCAGCTGCACAAATGCACATGTATCTAAATGTGTTAATAACAAACTAAAAATGACACAACATAGCCACAACGTGACCGTAACGTTGCGTCACAGTAACAATAACGTTCAGGTTACGTAGTGTGTTTGTCGGGTGCAGATATTGTTTGTTGTGAGAGAGAGAGAGAGAGAGAGAGAGAGAGAGAGAGAGAGAGAGAGAGAGAGAGAGAGAGAGAGAGAGAGAGAGAGAGAGAGAGAGAGAGAGAGAGAGAGAGAGAGAGAGAGAGAGAGAGAGAGGGAGGGAGGGAGGGGGGGGGCGAGAACAAGAGGGGAGAGAAACGAGAGAGAGAGATAAACACATAGAATGAGAGACCCGGGCACCGCCGGTTACCCAATCTAGAATTCTATAACTTACTTTAAACTTACCAGCCGCAAATCATTTAATTCTCTTATATCTATTGAAACAGGAAGCCTTGACGCTGTCAAGAGTGCCACAGGGAGTGCCAGGAGGGCCATTATAGGCCGACCAATCACTGTCCATGAACAAAAATTAAGTGTAGACCCAAACTGGTCATCGAGGGTGGAGGTGGATTGGCTGGCGGCGGCCTGGTAGTTCCTAGGCCTACCCAACGAGCCTACCCAACGAGTCTACCCGAATCATAGAGTGCCAACCCCCCCCCCCCCACCCCGTGAGGACCAATCACCGCTTGTAATCCATAACAATGAATGTAGAAGTCATTAGACGAGACTGGTATGGCTATACACGTGTGATAGCCAGTGTGGATATATTGATATACTGAACCTAAGATAGCCTGCAGGTGTAGTTATGCTGGTGTGATAGCCAGTGTGGATATATTGATATACTGAACCTAAGATAGCCTGCAGGTGTAGTTATGCTGGTGTGATAGCCAGTGTGGATATACTGAACCTAAGATAGCCTGCAGGTCTAGATACGCTGGTGTGATAGCCAGTGTGGATATATATTGAACCTAAGATAGCCTGCAGGTCTAGTTATGCTGGTGTGATAGCCAGTGTGGATATATATTGAACCTAAGATAGCCTGCAGGTCTAGTTATGCTGGTGTGATAGCCAGTGTGGCTATACTGAAGCCAAGATAGCCCCGCAGGTGTGACTATGCAGATGTGATATCCTACTGGTCAGCATACCCCGGCTAAGATAAGAGCACACAGCGTGGGCCTCACCGGTGAAGATGCGACCCACGACCAGCCTCTGTTTAGCAACGCTGTGGCTCGTATCTCTAGAAGGTAAGTCACCTTTGGTTAGTTGGTAGTGGTGCAGGTCTTAGGGGGGGGGGAGGGGGGGAGATAAGGGGGGGGGGAGATAAGGGGGGGAGATAAGGGGGGGGAGATAGCGGCAAGGTGGGGGAGATTGTGGTGTTATGAAATGTCGTTTGTATCAGTCTCCACACCATGGGGTCAAGGACCCCCCCCACCATGGGGTCAAGACAGTCAAGGAGCCCCCCTCCCACCACCATGGGGCCCAGGAGCCCCCCCCACCATGGGGTCCAGGAGCCCCCCCCACCATGGGGTCCAGGATCCCCCCCCCTACCATGGGGTCAAGACAGTCAAGGAGCCCCCCCCCACCATGGGGTCAAGACAGTCAAGAAGCCCCCACCATGGGGTCCAGGATCCCCCCCACCATGGGGTCAAGACAGTCAAGAAGCCCCCACCATGGGGTCAAGACAGTCAAGGAGCCCCCACCATGGGGTCCAGGATCCCCCCCCACCATGGGGTCAAGACAGTCAAGGAGCCCCCCCCACCACCATGGGGCCCAGGAGCCCCCCCCCCACCATGGGGCCCAGGAGCCCCCCCCACCATGGGGTGAAGGGGCCCCCCCCACCATGGGGTCAAGACAGTCAAGGGCCCCCCCACCATGGGGTCAAGACAGTCAAGGGCCCCCCACCATGGGGTCAAGACAGTCAAGGAGCCCCCCCCCCCCACTACCATGGGGCCCAGGAGCCCCCCCCCCCACCATGGGGTCAAGACAGTGGTGGACTCCACCAGCCGGGCGGCAGTAATGGGTGCGGGCTGCTAGTGAGTGTGTGTGGAGCTCTGGGGGCCACCAGTCACCAAACCGGTTGTGTGGTTGTATCTGGGTGAGATCTAAGGTAAGTGGAGGGCACCAATATTCCTGCTACGTCCACCAGTATTACAGTCACTTAATTCAGAGTATTTGTCTCTTGGGTCCAGACATGCCATCAGCTCTCCAGCCTGTTGGTGTGTGCAAGTATGATAAACAATGCCTAGCATGTGGAGCACATACAAAACTGTATCAATGATTAACTAACATAAGCCAAACATGTTACTGAAGTCATAATAGTTACTTCCCAAAGTGTGTTCCTCACAAACTGTATTGTGTAAGAAACTGTAACGCAAACCGTATTGCCGTCACATCAATCTAGACGGCATCTCAACTCACATCAATGTATCTCCCTCACTGTATTCCTCATGTATCTTACAATACAAACTACTATATCTTTGTCTAGAAGATACTAGACTTATGTAGAACATATGCCTCTTAAGTTCCCGGAATAAACCGGGCTACAGATCCAATAGGAAACTCAAGGACTCAAGATCGATCAGTTTATCGCTCCATAAGAGAGGTTCGTGGTGGTATGCCAGGACCACACCCTGAGTGTGATGGGGTAGAGTGCCACCTGCTGCCTCCAGTGCCTGGCACCGCTACAGCAACTGCCTCTACCACCACATGTACTGATCTTGTTGTTGTGGGGAGAGCTGCCACTGCTCTAGTCACTGGAGCATGTGGAGGAGTGGAAGCTGGAGCATGTGGAGGGGTGGAAGCTGGAGCATGTGGAGGGGTGGAAGCTGGAGCATGTGGAGGGGTGGAAGCTGGAGCATGTGGTGGAAGCTGGAGCATGTGGAGGGGTGGAAGCTGGAGCATGTGGAGGGGAGGAAGCTGGAGCATGTGGAGGGGTGGAAGCTGGAGCATGTGGAGGGGTGGAAGCTGGAGCATGTGGAGGGGTGGAAGCTGGAGCATGTGGAGGGGTGGAAGCTGGAGCATGTGGAGGGGTGGAAGCTGGAGCATGTGGAGGGGTGGAAGCTGGAGCATGTGGTGGAAGCTGGAGCATGTGGAGGGGTGGAAGCTGGAGCATGTGGAGGGGTGGAAGCTGGAGCATGTGGAGGGGTGGAAGCTGGAGCATGTGGTGGAAGCTGGAGCATGTGGAGGGGTGGAAGCTGGAGCATGTGGAGGGGAGGAAGCTGGAGCATGTGGTGGAAGCTGGAGCATGTGGAGGGGAGGAAGCTGGAGCATGTGGAGGGGAGGAAGCTGGAGCATGTGGAGGGGTGGAAGCTGGAGCATGTGGAGGGGTGGAAGCTGGAGCATGTGGTGGAAGCTGGAGCATGTGGAGGGGTGGAAGCTGGAGCATGTGGAGGGGAGGAAGCTGGAGCATGTGGTGGAAGCTGGAGCATGTGGAGGGGAGGAAGCTGGAGCATGTGGAGGGGAGGAAGCTGGAGCATGTGGTGGAAGCTGGAGCATGTGGAGGGGAGGAAGCTGGAGCATGTGGAGGGGAGGAAGCTGGAGCATGTGGAGGGGAGGAAGCTGGAGCATGTGGAGGGGTGGAAGCTGGAGCATGTGGAGGGGAGGAAGCTGGAGCATGTGGTGGAAGCTGGAGCATGTGGAGGGGTGGAAGCTGGAGCATGTGGAGGGGTGGAAGCTGGAGCATGTGGAGGGGAGGAAGCTGGAGCATGTGGTGGAAGCTGGAGCATGTGGAGGGGAGGAAGCTGGAGCATGTGGAGGGGAGGAAGCTGGAGCATGTGGAGGGGTGGAAGCTGGAGCATGTGGAGGGGTGGAAGCTGGAGCATGTGGAGGGGAGGAAGCTGGAGCATGTGGAGGGGAGGAAGCTGGAGCATGTGGTGGAAGCTGGAGCATGTGGAGGGGAGGAAGCTGGAGCATGTGGAGGGGAGGAAGCTGGAGCATGTGGAGGGGAGGAAGCTGGAGCATGTGGAGGGGAGGAAGCTGGAGCATGTGGTGGAAGCTGGAGCATGTGGAGGGGTGGAAGCTGGAGCATGTGGAGGCAGTTGGGTGAGACACCTTGGAGCATGTAGTGGTTCACAGCAGCCAGGAGCATGCAAAAGGTGTGTGGCAGGTGGGTGCTGGGGGGCAGGTGGGCGCTGGGGGGCAGGTGGGAGCTGGGGGGCAGGTGGGAGCTGGGGGGCAGGTGGGAGCTGGGGGGCAGGTGGGCGCTGGGGGGCAGGTGGGTGCTGGGGGGCAGGTGGGCGCTGGGGGGCAGGTGGGTGCTGGGGGGCAGGTGGGAGCTGGGGGGCGGGTGGGAGCTGGGGGGCGGGTGGGTGCTGGGGGGCAGGTGGGAGCTGGGGGGCAGGTGGGTGCTGGGGGGCAGGTGGGAGCTGGGGGGCAGGTGGGTGCTGGGGGGCAGGTGGGAGCTGGGGGGCAGGTGGGAGCTGGGGGGCAGGTGGGAGCTGGGGGGCAGGTGGGAGCTGGGGGGCAGGTGGGAGCTGGGGGGCAGGTGGGCGCTGGGGGGCAGGTGGGAGCTGGGGGGCACGTGGGAGCTGGGGGGCAGGTGGGCGCTGGGGGGCAGGTGGGAGCTGGGGGGCAGGTGGGAGCTGGGGGGCAGGTGGGCGCTGGGGGGCAGGTGGGAGCTGGGGGGCAGGTGGGAGCTGGGGGGCAGGTGGGAGCTGGGGGGCAGGTGGGAGCTGGGGGGCAGGTGGGCGCTGGGGGGCAGGTGGGAGCTGGGGGCAGGTGGGCGCTGGGGGGCAGGTGGGAGCTGGGGGGCAGGTGGGCGCTGGGGGGCAGGTGGGAGCTGGTGGGCAGGTGGGCGCTGGGGGGCAGGTGGGAGCTGGGGGGCAGGTGGGCGCTGGGGGGCAGGTGGGAGCTGGGGGGCAGGTGGGCGCTGGGGGGCAGGTGGGAGCTGGGGGGCAGGTGGGCGCTGGGGGGCAGGTGGGTGCTGGGGGGGCAGGTGGGCGCTGGGGGGCAGGTGGGTGCTGGGGGGCAGGTGGGAGCTGGGGGGCAGGTGGGAGCTGGGGGGCAGGTGGGCGCTGGGGGGCAGGTGGGAGCTGGGGGGCAGGTGGGAGGTGGGGCGTCTGGTCTGCTGTGTAATTATTTGCTCGGTGTTAAACATTTATAATTATCACACACACACACACACACACACACACACACACACACACACACACACACACACACACACACACACACACACCAACGAAGGAAGAGGTGGAGGTGGTGTAACTCTGCTGATAACAAAAGACTTGAGTTTTAAGGAGATGATTATCCAGGGTTGTGAAGGGTTCAGTGACTACATAACAAGCACCATAGCAATTGTGGGACAAAAACGTATAGTCTTAGTCATATATAACCCCCCACCAAATGTCAGAAGACCCAGACAGGAATATGATAGAAACAACTTGGCCACCATCAATATAATAGAGAGAGCAGCTTCTGTGGCTAGCAGGAACGGATCCAGGCTACTAATCATGGAAGACTTCAACCATGGGAAGATAGATTGGGGGAACAGAGACCCACATGGAAGACCAGACACATGGAGAGCTAAGCTGCTGGATGTGGCAACAAGAAACTTTCTAAGTCAACACGTCAAGGGACCGACAAGAATGAGAGGAGGGGATGAACCAGCCTTGCGTGATCTGATATTTACCCTAAATGAGTCGGATATAAGGGAAGTTAATTTAAGTTGGAAGCTCTCGTGGGAATGAGTGATCATAGTGTACTCACCTATTTGTGCTTGCGGGGGTTGAGCTTTGGCTCTTTGGTCCCGCCTCTCCACCGTTAATCAACTGGTGTACAGGTTCCTGAGCCTACTGGGCTCTATCATATCTCCATTTGAAACTGTGTATGGAGTCAGCCTCCACCACATCACTTCCTAATGCATTCCACCTGTTAACTACTCTGACACTGAAAAATTTCTTTCTAACGTCCCTGTGGCTCATTTGGGTACTCAGTTTCCACCTGTGCCCCCTTGTTCGCGTCCCACCAGTGTTGAATAGTTTATCCTTGTTTACCGTGTCAATACCCCTGAGGATTTTGCAGGTAGTGATCATGTCTTTCCTTAGTCTTCTGTCTTCTAGTGTCGTAAGGTGCATCTCTCGGTGCCTTTCCTCGCAACTCATGCCTCTTAGCTCTGGGACTAGTCTAGTGACATACCTCTGAACTTTTTCCAGCTTCGTCTTGTGCTTGACACGGTACGGGCTCCATGCTGGGGCCGCATACTCCAGGATTGGTCTTACATATGTGGTGTACAAGATTCTGAATG